ATATATGTGTGTGTGTGTGTGTGTGTGTGTTTATATTCAGTGTTAAATGCTATGAAACAAAAACGACAACGCATATCGCATATTTTTTGGACGTTGCACCAGTTTGGGTCTCTTGTGGCTGCTTCCCCATTGCTCACAGACACTGACCTTGAGTTGGGTGGGGGGATCCTGACACACAGGTCCCTCTGCCGTGGTAAGCAGAGACCATGAGAGAGAATCATGGACATATAGAATGGTTTGGATTGGAAGTGAACTTAAAGATCGTCCATCTCCAACCCCCTGCCATAGGCAGGGACACCTTCCACTAGTCCAGGCTGCCCCAAGCCCTGTCTAGTCTGGCCTTGAACACTGCCAGGGATGAGGCAGCCACAACTCCAGGGCAACCTCTTCCAGTGTCTCACCACCCGCACAGTAAACAATTTCTTCATAATATATAATGTAAAGCTACCCTCTGTCAGTTTAAAGCTATTCCCCTTTGTCCTACCCCAACATTTCCTTGTCAAAACCCCCCCTCCAGCATTCCTGTAGCTCCCTTTAGCTACTGGAAGACTGCTATAAGGTCTCCCTGAAGGGGAAAGTATGGCTTTTCTCCGAAAATGTGCTATGGAGCAGACAGCCAGGGTTTCTTCTAAAGAAACATGCCCTGGTTGTAGCAACCCAGCAGGCCTGAGTCTGCTTCTTATGCTTGGGGCAAGAAAGAAGGAAGAGGACACACAGGCCTTTCTGTAACCTTTCCTCTTCCCCTTGCTCTTAGGAAGCCTGGGGCTGTCCAATCTTAGAGCAGCTTTGAGAAGAGATTAGCCAGAGCACTCTGGTCTGCAGCTGCAGCTTCCTCCACCTGCCTCCAGGCTTATTGGGCTAGAAGCAAAACTGCCCTACATCATCTCGGTCATTGGGTTACACTGCACCTTGCAGCAGGAGCACTGTGCCAGCAAGAACTGCATCAGGACACATTTCCAACCTTATCCTGTCTGTCACTGGCACCTTTTCCTCACCAATGACCACCCAACCTGTCATCCCATATCACACAGCAAACCTGTTGCACTGCAGGGAGAGAGCAGCAGCCATCAGGACTTCTATGCATTTGTCCTGCCCCTGCCCTCTAGACAGGCATTGAGAGGGTCAGCATATTCTTCCTTCTCCATGCTCTTGTCACAACCAACTTATTATAAGCTGTTTCTGTCCCCTCAGCTGCATCACCTTATGTTGCCAAAGCTGCAGACAAGGGCTTTAGTGCAGTTTGAGAGCCAATCCAAGTTATCCTGTAATTACCATTTGTGCTTATAACATGAAGGAATGCACTCCTTTGCCCCTGGGCAGTAGTCCAGCCTGTCCCTTTCTTCCTCATCTGCTGCCACCCTCCAGTCTATCAGAACTGGCTGCCAAAAGCAGGATCACACAGGAGCCATCCCAAATTCCCCCCTGAAGTCTGAGGGCTGAGGGATGTGTTTTACAGCAGCTGCTTAGATCCAAGGGCATTAAACTTAATTAACTGCAGTCTCAGAGGACAGAAGCTGGAGGGATGGGAGCAATGGATCAGCCTGTACTCTGCTGACACCTCTCCGTGGTCAAATCACCTGATCTATATGGTTCCCTTTTTACTTCTTGCACAGACAGACTCGTGACAGTGCTGAATGAGGAAATGACCACATGAATTTCTGTATCTTGCATCATTCAGGTTAGATCTGATGGCCAGAGCCACCCCTCTGGCCTGAAATTTGCACAGTGATTTGGGATGTGAGGCTCACTGAAAGGGACTCCGAGTCCCTTGTACACCTTAGCTTCACCCATAAAGCTTGTGACTCATGCTATGAGAGCTGGAGTTGACAAAATTGGCCAAATACTGAATGAAATGGGATTAGCAACAGCACACATGGAAAAAGCCGCCATTCAGCCGCTGTCATGCCAGCCGTCATCTCCTGCAACCAAAAGCAGACTTCGCCTTTGACGCACAAGGCAGTGCTATCTGTTGTCAGATCACAGGGAGAGGCTCACTGATGAGTGAGCAACTACTCAGAGTGGGAAAAAAGAAATAAATCACTGCAGCACTTGTAGTCCAGGAGTGGGGCCCCATGGTCGAGATGGAGCAGACCAGATAGTCCACAAACTGGACTAACCAGGTCCCAAAGCAGGAGAGAGGCAGTGGAAGAGAAGGGGCTGAGCTGTAAATGCAGGAAGCATGGATGGAGATGCCAGGAGGCAGCAGTATCTGGAGGAAGGGGTTTTGGCTGTGTGAATCTCACACTTGGCACATGAGTCTTGGCAGGTCTCGAATGTTACTTATATAGAAATATCTGAAGGCAGCACTTGGCTCTAGTGAAAATCTTCCGGGGTGTGGTTCAAACACTCTTCTCCTGTAAAAATGCAAGAGCACTCAAAAACGCTTCGTATGGGTGCTCTGCAGTTCCTTTTGCCCCCAAAATGGCAGAAGTAGCCTCAAGGGATAGTGAAAACTGAAAGGAAAATGTTGCAGCTTTTCTTAAAATACCAGCTGCAGTCTGGAGTGGCAGCAAAAGTCTTACTACTGCACACACCCAGTGGTGTAAGGTGCCTGTGTGCTTGTTATATAAAGCAGCTATAAAGTCATGGAAGAGTGAACAGGCAAACAGACAAGAGAGGGAGCATGTTAGACTCCAGGACAGCAAGCTCCAACACGTTCCAAGCCCAGCGAGGCAGCTTGCTGAACAAGGGATATTCAAAGTTTCAGTCTTCTCGACACCCTTCTTGAAGTTGTTTCAAATGAAAGACTTGTGATTTTAAAGCTGTGAGACATTTGCTATTTGTAGAGGCTCCCTCTCCCTCTTTCCTGACCTGTTGTGGCCTTATAAAGTGACAGGCTCAGTGTTAAGTGGACCCTACCTGTTCTATGGCTGTGCCCCTCTCATGGCAACTGAGCTGGCTGCATTAAAAATAGCTCTCCAAGTATAACAGGTAACATTTGACATCTGCACCCCCAAATTTCCTTGCCACCAGTATTTCTAAATAAACTTGCCTAAATTTATAAAAAAAAAAAAAATTGCCTAAAAAAGCCTTCTAGAGCCTCCTACCTTTGACATCATGTTCCGGGGCGGGGGGGGAAGAGAGAATGAGGATCAGAGCTGAGAGTTGCCTCAAGCCTGTACTATAACATCTATAAGTTAAGAAGCATTAAAAGAAAGAGTGTGGGAGGGAGGAAAATGGGTGTTTTTGCATGACTGCCAGTGTCAACTATTAACTACTGACTTGAACTACTACTTTGTACTTTTTCAACCCCAGCATATTAGAGACGCTGCTTATATTGACATTGTCACCCAACTTCTTGAATGCCATTGTCTCACCCGTCAACACGAAAGCTCAGCATCCCACAGGAGCGAGCCTTACAAGAATACGTGGTCATTACTTCATTCTGGGCACTGAGTGAGGCTCTTTACTCACATGAGAATCAACTAATTTCTGAAGTATTTAACTTTTGGTTATGACCCCTCACCCCTTATCTCTTGACAGAAAAGTGCATTTCCGTATGTATAAAGGCAGATTTTAGGTGACTTCCTGGGTCAAATTTGAGTCATGTGTATAATTTTGCATGCTTCTAGGTGGATAACAGCTGAGTGGAGGGTGCAAACTGTAATCTGCGAGCTGGATCCCTAGGTGGGATCCAGGCATGAGTATCCTTTGGTGGTTGTGATGCAGGGCTATTTGCCATTCCTATGGCAAAGATTTGAGCATTGCAGAATGCAGTGACAAAGATGAGAGGAAGAGCTGAGTTCTGATTCCTGTGTCCTCCTCAATTATTTTTGTTTTCATCTGTATTGTTTACGATAATTTTCAAGAGGAATATTTTCTGACACTTCCACTGGTGTCAGCTGAGCAAGGGGATAAATGATGATTGAGAACGAAAACCAGGCAAAAATCCAGCCCCAGCTTTTTTCTTGTCCTATTTGGAAAAGAAACAAAAAACAAATTACATGCGTCAAAATTAACTACATCCTCTTGGAACCTCAGCCCAGGGTACTGAGTTAAATTCCCCCAGGTATAATACATTAAAGTACGTACTGATTTGCTTATCAAAACAAAGAATGAGTATGCACACGCCAGGGGTGGGGTGCTGAGTGGTGAAGGTGTCTTGCTGTGGAGTGGAAACTCTGAATTTGACTCTTGCAGTAGACTCATGCCAAAGGCCACTCGTTTCTTCTTCCCAGCAGCCCCTGGTCTTGCAGGGTGAGAAAGTTAAAACAAGCCACGTGCTGCACTAGTCACAGAGTTCCCCTGGCTCCTCTTGATTTACAGTAACGTTTCTAGCCTGTGCTGTATATAGGCTTGAGAGCTTTATCATGGAGGTTGAGCTAACACAAATGAAATGGCCTTGAATTGTTCTGAGCTGTAGCTTCCCTCCTTCCTGTAGTGTGAAGTTGGTCCTGCTTGTCTCTTGTACACCTTGATCTCAAGCCCCTGCTCTTCCTTGACACAGACTCGTTCCTTAGCCGCCTACCTCCTCCTTTTTTCATTTCCTCTTCTTCTGCTCCTGTGCCTGGCCCTGGTGAAACACAGAGCAAGCACAGAGCTGTGAACAGCCTTCTGGGGAGAAACCACTGGCAGTTTAAACCAGAGAAACCTATGTTCCCGAATCTCCACTGGATTTCTGTATGTGTGGTACTTGTAACATAGGCCATTCACTTCACTGTAATGCATGGGATGAGGTTGTTCCCATTTACCCTTTTCCATGTAATGGAATTTTACAGGATGAAATGCTGTTCCTCCATGAAGTGATTCCTTGTACACAAGCCTGGGCTGTTGCTACTCTGATGTTTTGTTCTGATCACAGATAACCCAAGGAGTTGTTGTTATAACAGTCCCCACTTTCTACTTCACCACTGACCCAGTTTGGTAATTACAACACTTCTGAGTCTCTCCTGGGTTTGGCAATGGATGTCATGTGCTTGAGTGATGAGTAGCCCCAGCTGTTGTGTTTTGCTTTATTTATTTAACGTGAACTCATGTGAATTCAATAACATCTAATCTGCCGAGCGCTGAATGAATCATGCAGAACAGTTTGTAAAAACCCTGGATACAGCCTCAGAGTATGCAAGCTATTTTCCTGGAAGAAGTTGCGTAGAATTTCATTAGTGGCATGAATCTGGTAGGAAGCTCTTCGTGTATGATGTATTGTTTCTCTGGGATTTTTAATGTGTTGTGAAAGTCTGCTGATGCAATGCTCACCCTTTCATTTGACATTATTAAAAATACAGAAGTTATTTTTATCCTGAATGGTTTTCTTTGGAAAATATTATCACCAACTTATTATTCTTGTATAGCATCTATAGATGATTTTATGTTGCTAAACACTTCTTTGAATATACTTTGACATCAGAGTTTAGATATTCAGCTGTTGCAGGATGAGTTACAGATGCCCTGAGAGGATCTTTTGGAGGAGAGGGGTGGCTTATGGAAAAATATTTCATCCTCCACAACACAAGTTTGCCTTAATAGAGACTATAGAGAACTCATAGTGAGAAAACTAACCAGGATAATTCAAACATTTTTTGTCTCTGCATAGGACATGATCTATTAGACAGTGGCCCATTTTCTGCACTGTGTTGTAGATGTTCAGCATTGACTACCCACAGTAAATATAATTTGTTTGTTTTTTTTTTCCTTGATGATTCAGTGTTCAGTGCTATTCTCCCTTTAAATTGTTCTGTAACTAACTCTGATTGATGATTGATTGATTGATTAATTTTAAAATCATCCCTCACAAAAATACTTCTTAGAATCACAGGGTCACAGACTGGTTTGTGTTGGAAGGGACCTTAAAGCATATCCAATTCCAGTACCCCTGCCACAGGCAGAGACACCTTCCATTAGACCAGGTTGCTCCAAGCCCTGTCCAGCCTGGCCTTGAACACTGCCAGGGATGGAGCAGCCACAGCTTCTCTAGGCACCCTGTGCCAGTGCCTCATCACCCTCATAGTGAACAATTTCTTTCTCATATCTAATATAAATCTGCCCTTTTTGATTTTAAAGCCATTACCCCTTCTCCTGTCACTACATACCCTTGTAAAAAGTCCCTCTCCAGATTTTTTCATTAAGCCACCTTTAGGTACTGGAAACTGCTCTAAGGTATCCCCAGAGTTCAGAGGCCATGAAGAGGATTAGACATCTGGGGCACCTCTGCTATGAAGACAAGATGATAGAGTTGGGGTTGCTCAGCCTGGAGAAGACAAGGTTCTGAGTAGAACTTACTGTAGACTTTCAATACTTAAAGGGGGCTTATAAGAAAGATGGGACAAACTTTTTGGCAGGGCCCATAGTGGTAGGACAAGGATAATTGTTTTAAACTAACAGAGGCTAAATTTAGTCTAGAGATAAGGAAGAAATTCTTTCTTGTAAGAGTGGTAAAACACTGGCACAGGCTGCCCAGAGAAGCTGTGATTGCCCCATCCCTGGAAAAATTCAAGGCCAGGCTTGATGTGGTTCTGAGCAACCTGATGTAGTTGAACATGTCCCTGCTCATTGCAGTGAAGTTGGACTAGATGAGCTTTGAAGAGCCTTTTCAAACCAAACTATTCAATCATTTTATGATGCTGTTTTTATTAAAGAGAAAGTTGAAGGACAGGTAGTCCTGTAATCAGCATTGAGCCTATAGGCCAGTTTCTCCTTCAGCTACACAACACTGGTACATGCTTGAATATTTGGCTGGGAAAAAAAAGGCTTTTAGAGGTGGCAAGGAAGGAACTGATTCTTACCTATGTAACAAGGGATGTTTTCTTAATAACAATACATTTTAAATACCCAAGAAACATAGGAAACATAATCAGAACATCTGTCAGGGACAAAGTTTGTCTGCAAGGTACTAGACTGGAAAGTTGGCACATTAGTGCTAGGTTCTATCTTTGCTTTCAGTTTCTGTCATAAATGTTTAATTTAGTTTTTTTCTTCGATTACATTCTTGCATGGGTAGACAAAGAAATAATGTCAGACTTCCAACATATTTTGACATGCTAATTTCCATGGGATAAAAATCTTGCAGAAGTCCTCTCCGAAGTGTCTGCAGTAACTAACTTAACTAGTGGGCTTTTAAAGAATTAATGCTTTCATGAACCTATTTTTCTGCAGGTGTCTTTTGATGTCTTGTTCAGATGTCGTATGTATTTTTATTTTCCAAGCATCCTATGTTTAAAACCAGAGAAATGTAAAATGTTTTTTAAGAAACTTCAGAATACTTTACAGATATTATGTCCTTACCTTTTAGAGATACTTTGTCCTTGTTACTGAAGACATGAAAGGCACAAAAAATGTACGGAATGGGAAGTCAATAACATAGTATGACAGAGAACATCAAATATGTGTTAAGTTGAACACCTTTCTCTACACCAGACTCCTCTAGAAAATGTACAGGATTTCATGAATTTTAAGTATCTAACACCTCTTCCAAAAGACCTCTCCAAACCCTTCTGTCCAAGAAAAGATTTGGGGCTGTAATGAATTGTATTTTCCGAGTGCACATCTGTAATTTAAGCTGCTTATCCAGGTTTCAATCTGCCTCACAATAAAGTGGTAACTCTATGACACTGAAAGCAGTCTGTTCTGTAGTAGCGAATGGCTCACCCCATTTGATGCTTTTTGATCTAGGCAACTACGAGAATAGACTGAATATTCACAGAAATACTTGGAGGAGCAACAGTTTTACATCTCATCGCCAGCTATTCTTTTTCTGTGAAACATGGAAAGGTCTTCCTGTGTTCTGGTTTCGGAAAGCTAACAGCCTGCATCTCACCTTTGCCAATATCTGCCTGCTATGCAGTATGCACAGACTGAACTTCTGTCACATCCCCATTTCACTGTACAGAAACAAAATCACCCTTGCTCCAAAAAACATCATTCTGGGTGGTAAAAGGCCTCAGGGAATAGCAGAAATTTTGATAGTCAGAAATAGAAGAACTTGAAAATATATATCCATCCTTCAGCTAAACTCATAGCAAATTTTTCTTATTTTGCAAGTCTCATGTCCTCTTTAATCCACCTTTAAACCCAGAGGCCAAGGAGATTGCATAGTTTGGGTGCTGTGCCATCTAGTCTAGTTCATGCTCTGCCAAGAAAAGTTGAACCAGATGATCCTTGGGGTCCCTTCCAACCTGGTATTCTATGATTCTATGATAGTTTGATTGTTTCATTCTCTCTAAACCTTTTGATTTAATAGAATGAAGTATGAATGAAATGCAAGGAATCAGACAGATTTCAGCTACGTTCCTCCCTGGTGTTCTGGGGTTATCTTCTATGTGTTATAATTATCCTGCTGAATGCTAAGTTTTCTTCCATTTTCTACTCAAAGTAGCACGATTTACTTTTAAAGCACTCAGTGACAAGGACAGGTCATGAGGACAGCCATGCTTTGTAAAAACAATTAAGGTATGTAAGAAATGGAAACTTTGTCTGAAGCAGCTGCAGTTAGAACTACATCCTACAACATAATAGATGAGTGCAGAATCTGGGCCTTCTGGTCATTATTCCTTTGAAGAATTCTGTCCAACTCAATTTTTGGACATAGAAGGGAAAAAGAAAGCCATGATATAATATTTTCTCATAACTGAAGTTTGTGTTGAACAGAGAAGTACAGAGAGAAAAGAGAAAAAATCTCTCATTTAGTACACCAGAGTCATCATTATGCATGTTTTGGTGAATGAAACAATGACCACTGCAGAAATCAATGAGGTAATGACCGCTGCAAAGAAAGCAGACAAGATTTAGATCTGGGTTTTCCTGTGGTTTGAGCCAACTCACTTGCTTCACAAGTGAGCCATACGAAAAGTGTATACAACCAGCTCCCATTCCTCAGCTCTTGAATGATAATCTTTAATAAATAAACCACAAATCAGTTGTTTTCATGCATTGATTTTTTAACATTTCCCCAATCCATTCACATAGCCAGGCATAGAAAAGAGTGGTTGCGTTAACTTCTCATTTGAGGGTTTTTCCTTGGGCAAAGTTGAGGTGTAGAAGGTAGATAATCTCATAGTTTCTATGCTCCTTGAACAATACTGCACTTAAATCTCTAATGTAGATCATTTTTTCTAGAAATGTATTCCAGTTGTACATGATGCAACAGATCAGACTTTGGATCTCGCCCGACTGCTGGCTCTCTGATTGCACAAGTAAGCAAATATTTTCTACCTTGTTCTATATACATACATATTTCCACTAATGTGAAGCATCAAGTTAGGGCTAAAATGGGGAGAAAAAGAAGTTCTTCTGACATGGTCTAGTTCAATAAGAAGACATTGTCTTGCTGCAGTAGCTCTTCTGTGAAGTTTTATGGTGTATGTGATCCAAGAGGTCACAGTCTGTAGTGGTCCTTTCTAACCTTAATAGTCTGTGAATCCCTCCTCTACTCAGTCACTCAGTCCTTATGGGAATGTCTTAATCTCTTACTGAATTTAACAGTCAAGAAATGGATGGAATTCAATCCTTCTGTCTCCAGATGCAAATTTATATATATATATCTCATGTATGATTTATGCACAAAAATCACACTCTAGATAACATAAAGCTAAGTGTAGACATTGATCATTTTTTTTAAGCAACTGCTTATAAATTTAGTAAGCTGTCTGCCTTTTTATACTTTACAGTCTGTTCTCATTACAGACATTGCATCAGGCTTTGTAGTAAATTTGGAATTTGCTGAGTGAGAAAATGAAGATTTATACAAAGCTAAATTGAACAAATGGTGAATAATTGATTTAACTGACCTGACAGCTCACACTGTGCTAGTAAATAATACATAACTTTGTGCTATACTGATAATTTAGTATTCTGTGCTTCTAGATTCCTTTTGGTAAGTTACTGCAAGGAGAAAATTATCTTTGACCACCCTAAAAAGGCAAAAATATGCTTACCAAGCATATTCTGGTACCCCAATTGTAGAGTGCAACGGTCTGATACCATGCTCATAAAACATCTTCTTAAAGACTCTTTGCCCTTTCGTCTTTTGTCTCTAAAATATTGTTGGAGGGATTACATCAATATAAATATTTCACACTATTCTGCTAGCCACAAGTTCCCAGAGTCAGATAGTCTCTGTGTAAATTTACCTAGCATCTCTGCAGTGGAGAGAATCACAGTGACTTGTAACAGCAAATGCTCATCCTTTTCTTTCAACATATACGTTTGAACTCTTAATCGAATGCATAATCACAAGTTATTGTTAAACTGGTTCGTGAAGTATGCATACAGCCCTCAACTGATATATATGTTGGATAGCTTCATTGCCTTGTAACTACTGTAATAACCTATATAATAAAGGCTTGACAGGCAGCCACTAGGATCTGGCAGCCTTCCATACCCATCTTTGCAGGAGAGCAATTGGTTACAGAAAAGCGCAGAGAAGTGGAGAGTTTCACCAGCATTGTGTTGGGATTCTTTCTCTCACCACTGAAATATATTCACTCAGAGAAAGCAAACAGCATCTGTTTAAGGCAGCAGGCGACATAAGTACTTAAGTTAACAGTGATTCTGCATCACATACGAAAATGCAAACCACTGTTAGAGTGACCAGCAGAAGGGTCTGAGAACTATGTGCTGTCCATGGATCCAAATGAAAAGTTCTCCATAAAGCCAGCGGGAAGCACGTATTTTTCTAAGGATGGAGTATAGATCTTGCTCTGGGAGAAAGAGTTAGTACAGTTACTTTGCTGAATCTGTTCTAACAACCTTATCTGTGGAAAGTCACAGTTAATACATTGTGGCTGCGAACTGAAGCACACATGTAGCTAAGAAATATGAAATTGAGATTCCCAGACCAATTTTAACCAAACTACTGCACTTCTTTCATTTTAATACTGTATCATTTTTACAGTATTTACTGTGCAGTGTGGCTGAGTTGTGATAGCTGCAGAAAAATTTCTGGGCTTATTCCAGCTGCTTTCTCCGAAAGCAGAAGACACGATTCCTCTCTTTGTTAGGTGGTGTCTAAGTAAAGATCTACCTACTGTCCTTAAAGCTCATTGTGCCCTCTGACTTCTCAGATTTATCCTATCTTAGCATGTGAAAGACCCAAAATAGACTGCACATCTGGCATATGTCTAGGTAAGGAGCCTGGCACTGGGTGCAGCAGAGGAACATGGCTTTGAGAACCGGGTCCCATGAAAAGGGAGATGCTGACTTGCTGCATTCTAGTGCTGCAACATCTCTCTTTGTTGTCCCCAGGGAAATCAGGATCTGACAGATAAGTCATGGAGCAGAAGAGGGGCTGCAGCATGGTTTCATATAACCACATGAACTCTAGACTGAAGCGCAGGTGGAAGGTGCTCATTGCTCAAGTCTCATCTTCAGTGCTCACAACTCATCACTTGGCCATTCTTTGTTGTTTTTTTTTTTCTGTTCCTGGCTTGTGAGATATTTTCTTCCCTGTCCAGGCTGGGTGAGATTTTCCTTTAAACACCCCAAGAGATGTATAAGAAAATTAGGGCTTACAGAGCTAGTCAGTACCTAGAGTTAATGACACCAATGTGATGCTGGTAGAAGATGGAGCAGCCAAAATTAGAATGACCAGGTTTATGATGAGTCAGATCACTGCAAAAACTTTGATTAAATGAGGCTTAAAAGCCTCACAGACTGGATCTGCAAAGCAATGGATAAGGTAAAGAAGAAATGAAAAGAGAAACTTGCAGAAAGAAGAACTGTATATCTGTGCTTCCTCTGTGAACCCCACAGACACCTACCTGCATAGCTTTACTGAGCCAGACCTTCTCCCTCTGGCAACAGGTTCTCAAGGGAAAGTCCATCAGAAATTAGTATCTTTTTTGCCTTTCCTTTATCATGGGCTGGGTCAAGCAGATTGGGCAACAGACATGACAGGGCCATCTGACTTAGAAATGATGAATTTTTCATGCTGATTTCTCAGCAAAGATTAGCGAAATATTCTGTGTTTGTTGCAACAACCCTTTATTTTATGTACATACCTGGCATTCTCCAGTACACCCCATCATATAAAGATTCCTGCTCTTCTCACAGTAAAACAGCATTGTCTTTTTTCCCCATATACTTCCTTGTGTCTGATTTCGTGCCTGATTTTTAGGCTCTGCTGTAAAGGCAGCTCTTAACATAGTAGGTCTTTTCCTCCACAGTAGCATGAGCAGGAGCAGCTGGTGCTAGACATCAGTGGAAATTGCATAGGTCTGACTCAGATTAATGCTGCATGTTTCTCTGGGGTTGGTTTTGCTTTTGTCTGGTAGGTGTTTATGATTCCTGATTCCCTGTTTCCAGGCCAGAGAGAATGAACAAAGTCCATGGACTTTGACCCCAGAGGAATCGCTGCTTCCCCTTTATATAGAGTTTGCAGTAGCTCAATATTCCCTTCTTTCCCCAGCTCTAAGGATGGTGCATGCTATTCTAACAAAACAGACTTTTTATCTAAAAGCTTTTGAACCTCACAAATTAATTCCAAAAGCTTCATCTACCTCAACTATCCAGAGGAGCTAAAGCATAAAGAGAGTCCCGAAGGGGAGAATGCACCACTTTTATACTGCTGTGAGAATGACAGGGAAAAGGGTCCAACACTATTTTAAGATCACAGAGGAGAGAACCTGCAGAGGTTTTCTGGTCAGCTTGGAAAGGGGAAACAAGGATTTTTTTTAAAGACTGAAAGAAGTCTTATTGCTCTTTCTAGAATCCTTCTAGAACAAAACACACCAAACACTTACTACCTTTTCTGTCTGCATACAGGGAAACTGAGGCAAAGCACAAGCAGCAGACTAAAGCTTTGGTGTAGACAAGCACTCCTTCACATATGCATTGGTGGTAGCAGCATCCACACTGAAAACACTGTTTCCAGGGTCAATAATTATATTCTCTCCTGCTGTTGTAGGTGAGGAGATGCTTGACATGCAGACCCAGCAAAAATCCCCTTTCAGGTGCTTGTGTCCTTCATATTTCCCAGGGACGTTTGTATTTGAGTCTAGTTGTGTTGAAATAACTTAATCTAGTTTAAGCTGGGACACAGCCAGTCTCCATTTTCTGCCATGCAGGATGTTTGGGGCAAGTTGATGATCTGGCTCAGTCTGCCAGCTCCAGGACAAGTATACAGCCCCCCAAATCAAGATGCTGTTGTCTGCCTTTCCTCATTGAATCATGTCACTCCCTTGGAGGCTATCAATCTTCTCTCAAAGCTCTGAGAGATGTTTCATCCAGTGTGTTCCTCTAATTCCAACTGCCTTCAACCTATTTACTAATTCATGGGCAGGGAAATGTTTCTCTTGCTCCATGCTTGCAGGGGAAGCTTCCTTACCCCATTATTGCTCTGGGGTCACCTCTGCTTGAGAGCTGATCTTTGTATTGGGAAAGAGGGCAGTGAGGTTCTCTTCTATTCAGTTGGGGACCATTCTGTTTCGCTGCACCTAAAATGCTTTCTTTCCTCACTAGGTTTCCCTAGGTTTCCAGACGTTTCCACTTAATTACAGGCCTCTTCATGCATGGGATTTCATTCTGTCTTGACAGGGTGAGATTACTTCCCAGAACTCCATTTTTCACTTCTAAAGAGATAGATTATTAATTAGTATAATTTAATATTTATACAGCCTTCTAGAGATGTCTGGTGATTTGGAAACATTAAAAAGGCAGTCCCTGGTCTTAAATGCTTACAGTATGTTTTAGGTGATACCTTAAGAGATTAAAAAAGGCCAAAGCACAATCTGAAGTAGGAAAATACACAAACATGGAGATATTGGATGTTCAAAGTGTATGTCTTCCTGGTTTTATTCTTCTTTGTGATATAGATCTGTGGTTTATAGAAAGATATTTTTCATTTACATATGTCACTCGGGAATAGTTGAACATGAGAAATGTGTCATCGAAGCAAAATAAAACAAAGCCAGTATCAAACTTTCAGAGGTTCTAGCACAATAGAGGAAGTAATTCCTTTAGAAAGAAAAATCCATATGACCTGAAGAGTAAGTATGTTTTCACAGATCCTGAAGTCTTTTTAAAAATTGTAAGCTTAAAAACCATGTGACTTTTGAGTATTTTTATTTGCACTGGGTTTTCTGAGGCAGTGTTACATTTTATAGCTTTACTGGAAAAGCTTGAAGTGCAATAACCTTGGGGTTTTTTTCTTCTGCAAATAGGAGTGGTGATACTAGGGTTTACATGTTAATCCAACCTTCAGGCTGTAAGGAAAACATAAAGTTGCAATGCTGAGCACAACATTCTGGGAAAGGAAGAGGTGTCTATTACATGTAAGTGAGTGAATAAAAAAGTAAAACTAAGTCAAGTGGGAGCCTGAGTTAGTTGGGGGTAAGTCATCAGGAAAAACAAAGCAAGTAAAACAAGTGGCAGCTGTGGAAGAGTTAGGAAAAGAAGTAGTTTTGTTGCAAACAAGCGGCAAAGATGGGACAAAATTAGATGAGCTGCAGAATTCCTGGGGTTCATCTGAAAATCATGTTAGAAGGTATTCAGAGCACACAGCCAGAATGGAGCAAGGAAGAGGTCTGCATGCTTTAAGAATTTTAAATGAATAAGGTATTCAAAGGCTTATGGGCTACCATTGAAAATGTAATACAAATTGTGCAGAAAATATTTCCTGAAGGAGAAATCAGGGGTCATTAAAAGGTTACTTTGAACTAATGCTTCTTGATTGGTTGTTAGTGTTCAGCTTCCTCTGAAGTGACAACGCGTTAGGGTGACCGTTGCCCTCTTCCAGCAATTATTGGTGCTCTGGCAATTGCACTCAGTTTTAATCAATTTGAGTCATGAATGGTGCTTTTCTTGGTTTCAAACAAAAAAGCCAACTGTTGGACCAGAGATGTCCACTTCTTTTTGGCAGCTTCCTGTTTTCTTTCGGAAACTTTTTGAAGACCCTGTCGGCTCTAAGACTGATCATGATGAATCCCTTCTCTGCCTGTATGGCACTCATTAAGTGATCCGCATTCCAGCAGAAATCCATATAGCCAACAGAAAGTAAGAAGGCAAGAACTGCTCCTGGAGCAGCACAAAGGTCTATCTAGCATCTGGTTCCAAATCTCCACCTAGGTGTGGGGATGGCTGACTTAAAGAAAGGTATAAGATTCTCATAGTTGGGAGGTAAGGGATAATATTTCTCATTTTCTCCCCTCTCCTACTCCAGTAAGTCTGTTTTGTATCTGTAATATTTAGGTTTTGGCTTAAGCTCTGAAGAATGAAGCTGAACAACCAGGATGTATCTGTTAGCAATATTTATAACTCTGGATATTCTTGATATCTGTAGGAATATCAATCTTATCATAACCCCACTTATTCATCTCTGGCAGGAGTTGCCAGGTTCAGATGCACATGTCATTAATGATGCATAAGCTATTGCAAAGAAAGAACAAATGCTGGCTCAACAGCTGAGTGTCCCCATGGAAAACATCCATGAGCAACCTTGGATGGATGTGGTAGTGCTGCACCATTACCCATGTCAAGTGGAGAGTCAGGAGACTCCTTATCAGAGGCAAACACTTTGCAACACTAGTTTCAGGATACAATTTTCACCACCTGGATCAGCATGAAGTATTCTTATTTACCTACCATGTGTTCCTGCCCCATTTTTTTAGCACAACATGCTCAGCTTTGATAATACAGCAGCTTCTGTAGCTGTGTCTCTGGGAACTGCTGCAGCTTGTAGAGGACCAGGCTTGGAAAAGCTGGATTACTTCCCCATTCCAGTTCAGAGCATAGCCAAGCAAACAGTTGTGCTTGGACAATTAGCTGACACTAGGTGGCTAACTTCACTGCTGTTGTTTTATGATATGAATCTGTTGTTTCCCTCCACTCACCCATCCATATCTATCTACTGTTGAATTTAGAGTAGAAGAGGGCCCATTCTCTGTGTGTCCATAGCAACTCAAGGGCCGTAATGTTTGGTTCGTGCTTGAAACTCCTCAATTCTTGCATTAATAGCTGCAGCTCTTGACTTATCCCAAAGCCCATTGGAAGGCCATGCATTTTAAAACCAAATCCTTCTATAAAATTTTTATTCTTATGTTTACTAAGCTAAATACTGTTTTCTGTGTAAATCTCTAAGTGAAGATATATGTATATATTCTTTCATATGAAAAAACACTACTTTTATGTGCTGGTGATTTTACCTTGATTTGTCTTTTTTTTGAGTCCTGTTTCCTCTGTGTCTAATCCATGGTCATATGAAAGATTTGATAAGTAGCTGCCAGAATATTCAGCTTCCTGGACTGAATATTTAAGATGCAGTAATCTGTGTTTCAGGGAAGCCTCTAATTAGCAAATGAGTCATTAGAGAGCTCTCTATTGACACCTGGCATCAGCAGGAGCACACCTGAGCCTGACCTGGACACTCTATCTTCAAGGTGAACTGTGAAGTAGTAAAGAGTTCTTTTTTGTTGCTTTATAGCACACAAGGAGGTCTTGGTACCTGCAGTGTCATAACTTGTTCTTCAACAAAAGTCTTCTAGGGAAAGGAGGACAAAAGAATGTCTAATTGAAAAATAAAATAAAATACAATCTCAAAAAAAAAAAGGTTAATCTTTGTAAGAGGAGAGGAGGCTGGAATTTAAGATAATCAGATACTTCAGCATTTCTATGACACTAAGACAGTTCTTATGTTATCAGTAAAATATGGGAACCTCCTTCCAGAAAAGCATAGAGTCAAAATGCAGAGTGGGATGTCTTCAATACTAACTCGTCAGTGCTGGATTGTAGGAGCAGATCTAGACAGCATAACAGGTTGCATCAAGGACTCAATGTCCACACCATCTGCATCTGGGAGGATTACTTTAGATTATCTAGAGTCTGTGGACTGAGTCACAATATTTAAGATCTGGGTAAATTTTCCTTAGCTGTTGGTTCAACAATGGTTTCATATCCCATGCTTAAGGCTAGAAGGCATGCTCAACTGCAGAAAAGTAACACACTTAACTAGTTATTTCCTGCCTGTGATGGTTTTCCAAGCAAGATATCTGTGTTTAAAAGTTCCCAAAAGAAAAGAAAGGAAAGGAAAGGAAAGGAAAGGAAAGGAAAGGAAAGGAAAGGAAAGGAAAGGAAAGGAAAGGAAAGGAAAGGGAAAAGGAGAGAAAAAAGGAAATAAAAGAAAAGAAAAAAAGAAAAAAAAAGAAAGAAAAGAAAAAAGAAAAAGAAAAGGAAATGAAAGGAAAAGGAAACAAAAAGAAAGAAAAGTTATTTTGATAAATAATATACCCTTTACCAGGATAGAAAAGGGAAGTCATTTGAGGACTGACAAACAGGTTTCTCTCTGCTGCATAATAGGAATTATCTGTTGGGGACAGGGAAATCCTCTAATTTCCATACAACATTTCAGCAGGCTTGAATTTTCCCCACAGACACTGTTTTTATTCCACAAAAAATCACTGGTCAGATCCTGAGGCAATCACTACAAATTAGCAGACCCAAGATTCTGTCTACTCTGCTTGTGCATGAAAGTATTTTTACCTTACAGTTCATGATGCCATGTAACTACTTTTGATAATGAAAAGCATAAGTATTTTTACTTATTATTTTCATTATTTAAGCCCCAATTCTCTTTTCAGCTTTGGTGGCATAAATCTAAAATGGAATTACTTTACGCTTAGAGCCACTCTCCTGTGTTCTGAACTTGCCTCTCTGTGTTTGCCTGAAGAATGCCTGCTATATGCTTCTTCAAATCCCCTTTTCCTCCCTTGATAATGTACACAAGAACAGTGTGAGAATTTCAGTGGAACTGTTCTGGTTTCTTTTCCCTTGTGGGAATCTGGAATATTGCAGGGTGAATTAGGAGCTAGGAGGAAAACATCAAATAGCAAATCCATAGGAGAAGCTGAGTCGGAGTCAGTTAGTAAAGCCGCACTGATGCCAGTTTGCTGCATAGCTCAGTTTTCAGAGTCAGAGTAGAAAAGGTTTCCCTTGCCATACACCCATGCTGTGAAACCCCTGGAGAGGATTTTCCTTTGCATTTTTGTTATCTCCTGAGGGCTTTGGATCATTCCATGGCTTACCATGTCCTGGGGAAGAAATGGAGAAAGACAGCATCAGCTTGACTGCACTGCTTGACAGTCACCTTTGTGAGACCCTGTCTCTTGAAAATCAGTGAGAAGCTGCTGGCGTGACCTGCTGGTGAACTACAACAGGGGGGGAAAGAGCAAATATTCCAAAGGGATAAAGCAGGACACGCACTTGCATCTGATCCGAAATAACTGCTGTACAAAGGAAAAGTGAATGCAGCCAGCATAGCCAAGCTGGTATTTCGTGACCTTCAGTTTGCAGAGTTCAAGATATCTTAATTTCTTTTTGCTGGAGGCTTCTAAGCTGGGGGAGGAGGAGTTAGTGGTGAAGCAGGAGAGAGTAAATTTCCTTTCTAAAGAATCTTCTTCTTCCGGTGGAAGCAGTGTATTGTTTCTCAAAATGGACACAGTTATTTTCTAACTTCCTTGTATCCTGTCACCTGGCCCTTCCTTCCTCCTCGTGATACCACAGTAAAACACACAAACGTACGAGCTATGCATTATTTGCATCATGACAGGATTTATATTCTGATGGAGGGTGGTGATTTATACTTGTCGGATTTTCTACACACCACATTCCAGATGTGGAATGAATTTTACTGGCATTTATTAGTCACTAGGGGTGTTTGAGGATGGCTTCCTTTATACCCCTGACATTTATGCTCTGGTGTAGCTTCCCTTTTCCTTTCAGTGATGTTTTTCCTTTAAAATGAGTAAAAACAAAAGGAAAACAAAAGGAAAATAAGTCCATTCTATAGCAGCGCAGACCCAATGGGATAGATTATGTTTATGGAGAAGGACATTCAGAACAGAAATCCCATTTTTCTAGTAAGGAAAGAAAGAAAAAAGAGTGATTATCTTTATTAACAAGCTGTTGTTGATGCTTCCAAGATTTAAATCACCTTTACAAATGTTGTGGTGTCAGCACTGACTTTTTAAGCTTGTCTGTTCTAAAAACTGAGCTTTAAGTCATTGTGATAATAGTGAATCCCTAACTATTCCCTGATGAATTAAGAGCTAGGTGAAAATTTTAAGTTAAAGGAAAGGTGTGAGATAAGTCTTCCTGAAAGGACAAGAAGTTGCACATTACTGAGTATTTTTTACACACAGACTATCAAAAGGTTGATTTTATGGCCAAAGTAAAAGAAACTTAGGCTTAAGGCACTCCACAAGGTGCATGAAGCAGGCACCGTGTTCAGACTGCCTGTTGTGGGGAATGCTAGTGTAAGATCAAAGGAACAGTAACTTAACTATGGGTTTCTTGAGGCTCATGGGTGTCAGAAACTGCTCTCTTCTTTGTGACTATGGGGACTGTGTTCTTAGCCTGTGGTCTTAAAGGGTATAAAAACTGATGGGTGCCACACAACCCAAAATCTATAAAGCATTGGATCATGAAGAAAGCGGGTGGGAGAAGTGGGAAGAACTCCTGAAAGAGGAAATTATTTTGGTAAAATCAGTGAGTTTCGATAGACAGAGGTGGGATTACAAAGCCAACCTGCTTTACATGGGGGTTAATCTCCCCACTCCTGTTCCTCCCAGTTCAAAAGCTGATTCCCACATTGCAGCAGCTTTTGAAGTCCTGCCTGGAAAGTTCTTCTGCTTGCTCGAACCTGGCATGCACAGGCTAAGAGGGGTTTGTCACTGGGTTGAACGCTGTGTTTGGATTTGGTAGGGGAGGTCCAATGCAAGTTTTGCTCTCAAACTAAAATCAAACTGTATAAAAGTTCTGATATAAATTGGGTGCTTGCTGACAGCCAGAAGGTGCTTGACTTTCTGTTTTATTCTGCTCTGCCCACGTTGCCTTTCTTTCTCAGGTTGCCTTTCAGTGGGGATATGAGTGGCTGCCACAAGCATAATTCCCAGTGAAATAGGTAAGAAGCTTTCCATGAACATGGATGAGGGTTTGGGTCTGGCTCTTGTGCCACTGACAGAACCCAGAAATGGTGATCACAGGAGACAGGTTGACCTAATTTATGGTATGGCTTCTTTAAGAGCATTCCATCAGATCAGGTGGGGTAAACCCTGTGGAAGCAGAAAACAGCCCGCTGAAGTTTCTCAGGGATGAACTCAGTGTGAGAGCACAGGATAAATATAAACAAATAAGTAAGCGAAGTAGTGGCTGGAACAGATAAGAACAGCTCAGGGAATTATTTATAAGACATGAGAAAGCAGACAGTGTACTTGATGGGTTTAGCTCTGATGGACCCATTAGCTACAGGCAACACTAAGTTTAAAGAGCCCAAAATTCCTGTGACATCTGAGATCAATGGGAATCTGTCCTCTTTGGTACTTATTAGATGAAGGTAAGGTTAATGGATTAACTTGTCAGGTGGATTTGGTAGTTGGTTCACATAGTAAATACTAGCTCTTACAGGAAAATATTGCTCTTTTGACTATGATGTAGCACATTAAAATAGGGCAGCTCTTTACCCTGTGTTGCTTTTGAGAAAAATAAACATATTGTTTAAGTGGGTGTAAGTCTGAGGCATATGTTTGTGCTTTGGATGAGATTATTTCTCATGGCCAATAACCAAACCAATAAGCAGAAAAACCCAAAGCAGCTGACACTGTGATTTACCCTTAGAGGGATGGACTCAAAATAAGCATGTTGCCACATGGGGACTGTTTCAATGATCTGCCAAGACCAGCGTGAATCCTTGTTATCATTTCAACAGGCACTAGATCAAACCTCATCTTCTCAGCCACTGTACTTTGGCTCAGCTGGTGAAGTTGCTTTTCCCATTGCAGTCTGTGGGTCAGAGTCAGGGTCAGTGTCAGACACTCCACAAAGCAGACACCTGATTGCCTCTTGACACAGCCCTGCATCCCTGCTCAGCGTCTTCACTATCATACCCATCCCCTGCAACTGTGGCAGCTACTTCTCACCCCTCTCTGAAGGAGCAACACAATTCTGTTCTGCCTCTGAAGAATCTTGAGCAGGCCTGGGTAGGAAGTCACTGTGCTAAAACCAAGCCAGAACAGTAATGTTTATCTAACGATGCTTCTCACCGCTTCCATTTAAAATAAAAGGTCAGTGGTGTGCAGTCAGTGATGAATTATTTCTTTGTTTCTGGACTAATAGCCCATGTCACAAGTGTTGAGAATCCCACTTCCATTAACAGCTGGGTCAAGGTGTTGAGCATTTTAATCCTGTATGCCTTATGTATTAGCTCTATCACAGTCTGCAACGCTACAGTTGTGTTTGCAGCCATCTGTATGCCTGGTGTGTTTCCCTCCACTGTGTGCCATGGTAGTCAAGATAACGCTTTAAAAAAAGCATGCTTTTGAGATGCTGAGATCTCCAAGTCCCAAAAATGAGCAACCACTAGTAGGGACTGACCCTTTATAATCTTCATGGGAAAACTGCAACAAGCCACATGCTCTTAATTATCCCCAGAGGACATTTCCAAGGCAGGAAGAACAGCAACTGGACAGCCTCACTAAGAGACCACTGGGAGCAGGCAGATAAAGAGCCGAGGGAAAATTTAAGGTCCACAAGTGAACAGAAATATGGCAATGCCTGCCTATGGCACACCATGGCAGTGATGACCTGTCTGCTGTCATGATGCAGGTTGAGGCTCTTGAGGTCGATCTATCATTAGGAGGCTTGCAGGGGATTGTGCTGGATCCCAAAATGCAGGAGAAACAAACTAATAAAGTCTGCTGGAGCTTGCCTGTGGGATACTCCCAGGTTCACCTCACCTCTCCAAGCTCTTGTGTCTGTGCCTGAGCCGTTTGCTGTTGGGTTTGCATGGCAAAGTTTTGGTAGCAAAAGGGCTACAGGGGTGACTTCTGTGAGAAGCTGCTAGAAACTTCCCGCATGTCTGATAGAGCCAACACCAGCTGACTCCAAGAGGGACCCACCACTGGCCAAGGCTGTGATAGTGGTAGCGCCTCTGCGATAACATAATTAAGGGGGGGAAAAACTGCTGCACAACATCAGGTGGGAGACAGGAGTGAGAATATGTGAGAGTAACAGCCCTATAGAATGTAGAGAAAATCAGGAATGAAGCTGAGCCAGAGAAGAAGCGGGGTGGGCGGGTGGGGAGAAGGCTTTTTGAGATTTGGTTTTATTTCTTATTATCCTATTCTGCTTTGATTGTTAATAGATTAAACTGATTTCCACAAGTTGAGTCAGTTTTGCCCATGATGGTCATCGGTGAGTGATCTCTCCCTGCCCTTATCTCAACCCACAAGTCTTTCAATATATTTTTTCTCCCTTGTCCAGCTGTGAAGGGTGAGTGATACAGTGGCTTTAGTGGGCATCTTGTGTCCAGCCAGGGTCATCCCACCATAGCTATTCAGAAACCTTGGTGTATAGATCTCAGGGCTTTGAAAGCTGTTCACACATGTACTGCATTAAGAGTATTTTTGGAGGAAAACCACTTGGCGAAACCAGTGGGATTTTGTTGTAAGCAAAAAGAAAATAGCAATACCTGAGGCTGTGATTTGTAAAGAAATGATAGCAGTAGAGCAAAAAAGAATACAGAAAGCTGAGCATTCCTGATGAAAAGCTCAGGGCCTGTGTAGACCTTTCTGCATGGCATGGCAGTGGATGTAGCTTTGATATTGTTGTTTGAAAGATTTACTGCCTGCATTTCCAAGAACACTATGGAAGGACCCCACTCTGAAAGGGGCTGTGCAAAGATGTAAACATCCCTGTACCAGGAGATTGCTACGGCAGTGGTATGTCTAAGCATAAGAGCAAAGCAGTGCTTTATCCACGCAGATTGCCCTCAGAGTTGGCTGACTTGTGGCACACCTTAAGTCAACTTTGTACAGCATGCTGCATCTCTTATTCTCATCAGAGGCAGAGCAGGTATAAAACACAGCCCTGTCTTTTGCTAACTTTCCCAGGCTTCCTTCACAAAGATAAGTAGGGCCCTCGGGGTACAAGCAGAAGTGGTGGAGTGTATTTCCCCCATAGCATATACAGCCAGAAGCCAGCCAGCATCTGTCCTGGAGGCAAGTTAGAAAAGGATTGTGACAGAGGAAGATGCAGAGGCATGACCCAGAAGAGATGACTAATAAAAAATGACTTAAGAGCTCTTCTCCAAGGATCAAAGGTTAAGTCTAGGTCAATTGTAATAACTGCAATGCTTCACCAGTCAGGACATGTGCAGTCTCCTAGAGGAACATCTAAAGCATGTTCTCAAATGGCATTAAAGTGGCTGCCATTTGCAAAATATTTGCCTCCCCCCATGTTTGCAGGTATAGTTTTGCACCAGCCCAAAGCTTCTCCGTTAACAGGGTCACAGGATAGTTTCTTTTCTCAAAACCTTCCAAGTGCACATGGAAGTTTTCTCTGGGTAAAGCCAAGATCACTGAGTTCCCTCCAAGCGCCATCCCCTTCAGCTGCACGCCTTGCTAAACATGGCAAGAGAAATAGGGAAATGTTCCCACTCCCATGGCTTAGACTATTATTGCTGCTCAATAGGAGCTAAGCAGTGTTTAATTACTTATCCTAAAAATGGATAAAAGAGTGCAGGAATACCAAAATGGAGGGAGAACAAGTGAATAAAGAAAGTAGGAGTCTGTCTGTCTGCTCTATATAGAGTAGTGCTGTGAAGAGATACCCAGGCCGATGCAACACAAGCTACCCAAAGATTCAGAAGTAGGACAGCATCCTATACACCAAGTTTTTAAGCGCTAGGATCCAATTCAACTCCCAGGCATCCTTTGTTCTCTTCTGCAAAACTTGGCAATGCTGCTGCATGTTTCAGTTTCACACACTGGTTTGGGAAGTGCTGATTCAATGAGATGTTTTTCCTGCCAGTGCCTGAGCTTGCTGCTTTGCTGTAAATGGGAGTTTAGTCACAGCGTTTTGCCTGACACATACCTTCCCACCCCGTTGTCATTATCAGTTTAAGTATTTCCGTCTCACACAGGGGCACACAGTACAAATATATTGCAATGGCTGAAAAGATTTAGTCATCATCAGTAGTTCAGTTAAGCCTGCATAGTTGACTGCTCAGAAGAAATAAGATTCTTAATTGGATAGTTTTCTATTTGAAAAAGCAGCACAGCTTAATGTGGAGCTTCTCCCAATGAAACATTGTCCAGAAGCACCAGTGGGCAGCACAGAGGGTGGCTAAATAGTCACTACAAAACTCTTCTGTCCATCAGCTACTTACCATTATCTTTTTGCACATGCTTTTCTTCCTGTTCAACAGTGATTAACACTATTAGCCACCGCACATTTGCACATTAATAGGAGAATATGTTTCCTTTTGGTCTGGCTGGATGATAGCCATGTTCAATATAGCATTTTCAAGGTGAGCTAGTTGCAAGGCTTCTTCCAGTGTTTGACAAAGAAGATGGGTTAATAGCTAGATGGAGCTATAGCATGGACAATTCTTCAGAGTTCTGCTTAGCACACTTCATTTCTTATGCCCATTTGACTTTGAACAACCTCTTATTCATGAATTGCTCCAGCTATGTTTGCGTAGTGTGTGCTAAATGCTAAGTGCAGGGCGAAGGAGAAACACAGGTTATTCTTACTGTAAGTACTGTGTACAGTATGAAGGACCTCACTGGAGGCAACTCTATTACATTGTGAAACTGTGGTAATTAAGATGCCACTTAAGCTTAATTCTCCTCACAGAACTATTAGTCAAGACTTTTTAGACCTTATATGGGGTATTTTTGTTCCATTTGCTCCAGTAGAACAGTATTTTGCCAGTGCTGAGTGCTTCTGATAATCTCCCTATAAATACCTGAAAGAAGGCGTCAAGAGCTGTTGGCAATTTCTTCACTATGTGTGGCATTCATGAGATTATTCCAGATTTAAAAGCAAATTAAAACTTGGCTTTAGACATTATGATGAATGGTGTAAAGAATGAATGATGTAGAGAACTGAGACCATTTCATTTGTCCTGGTTAGTCTGGGAACAAGCAGGTATTTAGATCTCTGTTATTTGAATTTATTCAATAAGAATATTTTACTGTGCAAGTGAATGCCAGACTGACTGTTATCAATTATGTATGGCACACACTCGCCACAGATATTGTAATCAAAGTCAGAGTGTGTGTTGTTTTTCCTGGTTACTGGAAATACGTATAATTTTCTTTTTTTTATTGTAAAATTTCATAACATTTTATAAACTGTCAGAATCCTTCAGCAACTTAATGTGAGAAATTGTCTGCTCATGGAGGAGGAGGAGGAAGCATGTGTGTGTAGGATGTAACAAACCCCCAAAAAATTAGAAGACATGGAAGCCCTGTTCTTTGTTCTTGCACAAAAGGAAATAGAGAATCTAGAGATAAACTCTGTGTCTGCTTAAGCTGTATCATTCACAGAAGTCCTTCCTGCTTCACAGAGGGATGGTGGGGAAAAGCTAAAGCACTTTATTTACTGGTCACCAGATTTTATATGTATATATTTTGCATAACAGCCTTTTCCCATAATTTCCTCTGCATGTCTAAGTGCTGTACTGTTTCTGATACCTTTTGTCTTGCATAACTGTCATCACATTTGTAGGTGAAAACACTGACATTTCATTTTTCCAGCTAGCATCATGTTTGATATATTAGTAGCTCCCAAACTGTTATGCTATAGGTCATGAGAGCTTATTTCACTCCCTGTGTATTGTCTGAAATGTGTTTGCCATGTGATTGGTATTTTCTACATGTGATTGAGTTTAGACTTGCAATTTGCAAGTGTTTAATGCTGAGTAAAGGCTTCTCTACCCCAGTGGAAGTAGCTGTCTTTCTCCTTGATCAATGACATATAGTCTTACTCATTGCTTCTTGTGTCTGACCTCCACATGATGAGATTTTTCCACACTTTTCCACTGTATGCCACTCAGTAATGTCCTGGAACTCAAACTTCAGGAGACTGAATGGCCTGAGGTTCGTGGCCACTGCCTCAGACCCCACTCAGGAAACACTGCCTGTGGTCTTGGGTCTCATTTGAGTTAAGCAAGGGAATCTGATTATAAATTTCTGCTGGTTGAAGCGACTTGATGAGCGCTTCAAGATCATGAGATCGTCCTGGAAACTTTCCTGCATTCTGATGAGCTTCCTGCTAAGAATAATATCCGAAGAGCCCAATTCATTTATTTCTCTGTTCAGTTCCACAACCCTTAAGCAAGGTTATAGGGAACTAACACTAATGGTAGCAGTTTTGGACTCACAGGTTACCTAGTATGTACAGATATCCGAGGCTGGAACTCCTATACCCAGGTCATTCCTGATAGATGTGTGTCTGACCTGGTTTTAAAGACCTCCAGTATAAAGGTATCACAGCATCCTCAGGCAATTCCTGTGCTTTGCTATTCTTATCTTTAAACAGTATTTCCTAATGTCTGACGTAAATCTTCCTTGCCACAAGCAGAACTTTCTGTTCCTATCCTCACTATAACTAGAAGCTACTTCAGTAGTTACCTGAATGGATTTTGTCCTTTAATTCTGATGTAAAGGTAGACAGTGACTGTGTCTACAGGAGTGAAACAGACATGTTTATAAGCATTCCTCAAAACTTTATTGTTTCTTGGCATTAGTGACCAAGACCACCAACACTAGTGCTTTTGTGTCCAAAATGCCATTGTCTTCACATGCATAGGGATCAGAAGAGATGCTAAGGTTAATGCAGACTTAGACAATACAGGTAGAATAGCAATAATTTAGTTAGGCAATGACAGAAAATTAGAGACATTTTATTTTGACTGGTTGTGTACATCTTGTATCTGAACAAAAAGCTACTGAACATAATTAGGGCATTTGTAATTTGCCACTTAAGCCTGGGCCGACACATCTTTCAGGACTTGCCTGCAACTTTAACCCTTCATCAAACCAAACCTGCCTCCTGGAGCAGCAAATTCTAGGTATATTCAATATCTTAACATGAGTTCAAGCTCTTTTTCATGCAGCCTGGACTTGAACAGTCTTGAACCATTATAAATCCATCTGCTATCAGGTACCTGTCTTGACACTTCCTAGCCTAGCACAGAGGCTCTGGAAGGTTTCCAACTCTTCTAGCATTAGGCTACAATAGTGTAGTTCCTACATCTGAGATACTTATCATAGAATCAAAAAATGGTTTGAGTTTGAAGGGACTTTCAAAGGTCATCTATCCCCCTGCCATGGGCAGGAACGCCTTCTGCTAGACCAGGTTGCTCAAAGCTCCATCCAAGGTGACTTTGAACATTTCAAGGGATGGGGCATCCAGAGCATCTCTGGGCAACTTGTGCCAGTGTCTTACCAGCCTCGTAGTGAAGAACTTCTCCCTAATATATAATCTAAATTTACCCTCTGTCAGTTTAAAACCACTACCCCTTGTCCTTTCACTACAGGCCCTGGTAACAGGTATCACCCCATCTTTCTTATAAGACTCCTTTATATATAAAAAGGCTGCAAGAAAGTCTCTCCAGTCTTCCCTTTTCAAGGCTGAAAACCCCAACTCTTCATCTTTCTTCACAGAAGTGCTCTGTCCTAATCATTTCTGTGGCTCTCCTCTGCACCCCCTTCAACAGACCCATGACTTTCCTGTACTGGAAACCTGAGCTGGATGCAATGCTCCAGGTGGGGTCTCATGAGAGTGGAGTAGTGGGGGAGAATCACTTCCTTTGCCCTGTTGGCCACACTTTATGAAGCCCAGGATACAGCTGACTTTCTGGGCTGCAAGCACACATTGCCAGGTCATATCTAATTATTCATCTACCAATATCCCCAGGTCCTTCTCTTCAGGGATGCTCTCCATCCAGGCATTACCCTGCCTGTGCTCATACTGAGGATTGTCCCAACCCATGTGCAAGCATGACCAGTGTTTGACTGTTGAATTTTATGAGGTTTGCACAGCTTCACTCTTAAGCCTGTCAAGGTCCCTCTGGATGTCATCCCTTCCCTCAAGCCTTTAGTCAGGGGATGTATCACTACAGTCAGTCACGTTCACGTGACCAGACATAGTCATCTCCCTGAGATGCATTACATGTAGTATGTGCTAATTGCATTGACTAATTCTCTGTTCTCTGTGAAAGCAGCCCAAGGTGACTTGTGCAGTTGTAGGTGCCTTCACATGAGACAGCTACAATTAGTCATATATTATCCCTTATGTAAAATGAAGCCACAAGTATTCAGTGTCAACTCAGAGCCATCAATATTGAAAGAAAGTGTAGGAGTGATAAGGTTTGCTGTGATTTCACATGATCTTGGTTCACTTAATAGAACAGGCACAGACAAAGAATCTTCCCATCCATTTCAGAAGGTTTTGCATAGGCTCTGGTTCGCAAAATTCAGATTTCAGAAAGTCCGTTTGTTTTTGAATGAAAAAGAAATATTGCTTTTTAGAATAACCTCACAGTCCCAGTTCAAATCTGCTGGACAGGGACAAAATAAGCTCATATGTGCAATGAGGAGCACCTGGATGTGCAGGTTTGAGGGCTTCGTTTTGCAGAAAGGCAAACTTCACTAGCAGCTTGATTCAGAAGTTTGAGCAGTTTCCACATTGTAAATTTATCCATCATTCCATATGGTAGGTCTTCCTTGTCATCTCACTTTGTTTAGACCATGATATGGGACTGAAGACTGCTAGACTGAAGACTGCCCAGCTATTTTTGCAGGTCTGTTCAAGTCAAGCATTAACTTTCAGCAACACAATGGCTGTGTTTTTGCAACCATTCAGTAAGTCATGGATGTTTCCTGGAAGAGTGAGATGATTCGTATCTGGTTTAAATGAAAGTTCTGTTGTTGTTGTATTTTTCTTTTCTACCATGGGGGGGTTTCTCTATTTCTCTACTTGTCTAAAAACAGGTAGTTTGGGTCCTGTACACCAGAATTCACTGCTTTTCTTCATTTTGTTTCAAAGCTGATTTTTTGCAGCACACTAAAACTACCACAGAAACTTCCCACTGTGAGGCAGAGATCACCATCCTCATCCAGGAATGCAGATGAAAACTTTCAGTCAAAGAGTTAAGAGCCAAGCAGAAAATCTCTGTGCTTTCTGCTTTATTGCATGCAGAGCCTGGGCACACTATCATTTTGTTAATGTTGCTATTTAGATAGATCTTGTTGGATGTACTTGAAGCACTAAGTATCTCGATTCACAGATATTTTCCAAGCAAGGCTATTTCTGTGACATTGAGTTGAACTTGAAATTGAAAGTGTCATGAAATATTTCACTGTTTTTTATCTAGCTGGCTGCGATTTACCTCTATGAAATCTGATCTGATCATCTAAGGTCCCTAACTGGAGTAAATGAAACATTTTATCACCAGGAATCACTTGAGATGACTTTCCAGAAGGTGTAAAAGACTGATATGATGGGCTGTCCTCCATGTACTTGTTTGTAGATGAGATATTTTTGCTACAGCCTGCAACATTAAAGTGAATGTCTGTCTCCTCTTTGTCCAGCCCTGTGGGTTTCTGCTAGGAGATGAAAGCTCCTCATTGCACCTATGATCTTAGTTTTGTCCCTGTCCAGCAGCTTCCAACCACTTCAGACTGTGAAACAGAGTGAGATATGATCCTTTGACCAGTTCACAGCATGCTGCTGCCCTCTTTGGCTCTGTTAAGAAGAGGGCAGAGCCGGCTCTGAAGCTTCAAACTCCTTCCTGGCTTCGTACTGAGAAATCTCAGAAGCTGCTGCAAGTTGTCCCTCATCTCATGCATCCATTACTGTTACATGGCTCATATTTTGGCCTGACATCCAAAACTAACTTTATCAAATCTTCAACTGTCCCAGCTCAAAACCAGCTCTCTGCCTCCCTTGTCCCCTGCCTCTTCCCAACCAGCTTGCACAGGAGAAGTCTGGGCATGGTTTCCAGCTGGAGACGGTGTTGCTGTCTTATGGCTTCTCCTTTATCAGTGAGTGGGCACACAGTGAGTCTGTTGCCATCAGCCTGGCATCCAGCTGTGCCTTTACTGTCTGCCCCTATATTGCCTCCCAAGAGTGACATCCACAATAAAGCCTAAACTACAGTCCTGTGGGGAGCGGGAAGAGTGGTATATTGGTATCTAAAGATCTGAATTTTGCTCATTCTCTTTTTGTCAGGAAGAGCAGTTTTAAAGTTCTGAGGAGAGTCAGTCTTCCTGGCCACTCCTCATTGGTGTTGCTTCATGTTTGCACTCTGGCAAATAGTGAGCAGATTAAAGTGATAGTCCCCATCACGTGCTCACCTTGGAATTAAGCTGATTACTTCAATCTCATCCCCAGTGCTGGAAAAGGGCCTCAGTCATGACTTCAGGTGAGAGGAGAACAGCTTCAAACCTGCCTTCATGATGCTAAGCTCAATGAAAACAACATTAAACCACAAAACAGAGTAAAGGTTCATGTTTCTTCTCAGCTGGAAACTCTGGATAGACAGTAAACACAAAGCTTGCTGCTGCCAGGGAGTTGTGTTTTCCCTTAATGAAGCCGTTCTTCAGACTGGAGTCCTGCACTCCAGATCCCTCAATACAGCCTTAACCACAGTAATCAAAACAGTGCTGGGATAAGAGCAGGATGTGGCAGTCACCCATACCTTTGACTGTGTATTTTTAAACATCAGTAAATAGATGCTTTTCAGGGGAAAAGGGGTGTGAACAGCACCATCCACAATGCCTTCCCTCGAGGGCAGGCAGCTGCTCCTGCCTTTGGTTGCCCACTGCAGACACAGCACAGCACAAGGGGAGCTGCGGCAGCCCTCTTCGGCAATGGTGGGAAGGTGTTTCTGGCTCCCAGGTCTTGTGTGTTTCCCACAACGCATCTTGCTTATTTAAAAGCCCGGGTCTGTCAAGTTCATGCTGTGTTCCTGCCTCCTGTTGAAGTTCCCAGCTCTGTGTGGGGTGAAAACTTCACCTCTTTAAAAGGCAGCTGATGGAATCCTTGACATGTTTTCGTGGCAGCAATTAAAATCTCCTATTAGGGATGAGAGCCAGGGGCTGCTTCTGAGGTTAGCAAGGTCCCCCAGAATAGTTTTCTCCACCTTTAGCATCAGGAAAGAACAATGAATTTTTTTTTACCCCTTACCCCAAATCTCTCTATGCCAGAAAATAAAGAAGTTAATTTTCTTCCTGACATTCCTGTGTGTCACACCCTCATTACAACATCCTCCTCTAGGAACATTCCTGTGCGTGAGAAAGAAAAAAGTGAATCTGAAGTGACTTTACTTGGTCTAAGTCTGGCCAAAATTTCTGCCAGCAGCTACTCCCACACATAGCCATTGCTCATAGGTAGATGGGAAACTAGAGTTGAAGTTTATCTTCCCCTGTCAAAAGGGCTCAAAACATCAGGATCAAAAAGCTATGGGTAAGAGAGGAACACAGTGTGTGACAGTGAGTTTGCTCAATTCACAAGTCAACAGCAGAAATCATTCTATAAAAACCTTTCGTAACCCCCCCCAGTGATTAATAAACTGGAGAACATGTCAGTGACAGCTGGAGAAGTTGAAGTGTTATAGTGAGGTGTCATCTCTGGTCATGATCTTCAGGGGTATTTCTCAACTCTGCTTTCCTTAGGGGGTGGGCTTACACAGCCTCCTGCCACAGGTATTCCTACCCGAGTACTCAGCTGCCTGTGTGTAAAGGGATGCTCATGCTCTCTTCGGGAAGGAAACCTCCAGCACAAGGCTGCAGTGCTGGCCCTTGGCATGTTAAATACGTGGTGGCTGGAGTTTCACAGATGTTCCATCATTTTTGTCAGTCAGATGTTGAATAACTACTGTGAAGGATACTAGATTTTAAAAGAGGGCTGTGCTTTCATTCCAGCTATATCATCTCATGAAGTCTGAAAATCATGCTCTGTAATCTTGGCAGGAAAAGTCAACAATTTAGTGGAGATACTATGTGCCTTCCCTGAAATAAATACTGGAAGCAGAAAGGCAGGTGAACTCTGGTCTTTATCAATGGCTGGTAATGTTGTACCCCTGAAAAGGGGACTGTTAGATACATCAAGGTACTAGCACACACATAGAAGCATATGATGGTACAAAACATTCCAGACTGACCATTTTCATTCAGAGGTAATACTTTTCCAAGATGTGATTTTCAGGCTGCACAAGGAGCAGGAATCTCACATGTAATGTGGAGAAAGCTGCCTCTTTAAAAATCAGCCTCCTGATGCCGCTTGTCATGTGAAAGTTTCAGCTGAATGCTAATGAAGAAAATCTGTTTTCAGTTAAGCCAATGTAAACTCAGGGAAACTTAACTGGGATTGGTGAAGTCACTTCAGATTTGCACCATAGCATAAGTTTGATTGGAACATTTGCTTTCATGTAACTTCTGCGGCTTTATTCCATTCATTATATATGACCATAATTTATGGAGGTTCCACATGCACATGCAAGTTAAGGCACTTTGGTTTCTTTTATTAAGCTATGAGTCTGTTTTATAATCAAAGTAAATCAGGCTCATTTGCACACCAAAAAATCTTGGTGTGGATTTCTGTCTGTGGGAGTGGAGACAAAGTATCTTGCTTGCTGACTCTAGCCAAACTATGCGTTTAGCTTACCCAGTCAATTTTCATGGTGACTCAGTGCAATTCATTTGCTCTAGTGAGATATGCAAATGCTAATTTTTAAGAGCTGTATTCGGATTTAATTCTTACCAGTGCACATATGAATTAATATGAAGGACTTCAGTAGTGTTACACCATGGTAATTAGGGAGTAAATATGGCTTGACACAGGGGAAAGGAGAAGCCACAAAGTAGATCACATCACGAAGCTGTAAATTTCCACATTAGCTTTGTCCTGACTGTTTTTTAGCATACTCTGAATAGCTGACTGTTCCAGAGCGGAGGTGCCAAGTGAAGATGTCTCCATCAGTGCCACTTGGCCTCCTTCCCCCAAGGTCTGGGTACTTACATGCATGACAGGAAGCCTGAGGTCCTACTGCATCTCTGACCCTTTAAATGCTGCACTGACAAAAGGCATAAACTCCTGTTCTTTTGAGTCTGCTGCGTGAGCTAAAACACAATAGCTCCAAGCTAGTTGCAGACTCATTGTGGTTCTGGCCAAAAACTGCGTTTTGCTACATTAAGGACTGAGTTATTCCTTAAAGCATGGATTCTGTGCTAGGAATAGTAGGAATTTCATTACTGAGGAGGTGAGTCCATCTAACTTTTAGCTGAAGGGAGACTGCCTACATCCTTATAACTCCTTTACACATAAGGAAAAGTTGTGCTCTTCTTGCTGTGTGTTGCATTCTGTTCACTGCACCCAGACCTGCCCCATGTATCTCCCAGATGGGAAGGAGTGGAGCAATCCTCTTTTCCTCCTAAGCACTAGGGTTAAGGGCTTCTCGTTCTAAACAGCTTGGTTGGATTTAGCAGATCTATGTCAGCAAATCTGTGCACACATTTTTGTGTACAGTGTAGAAAACAGTCTCACAGAGGTGTCTGAAACCTCTTTTTCAGTGACACATTATCCTACGTAAATTAGCAAGCTATCTGTAGACCTGATGTCAGATTCCTGTTGCGTCAAGGATGTTCAGACAGAGGTGGTGTACTTCTTTCCAGGCTCTGAGGTCTGCAGTACCTTCCCTTCTTTATCAGAAACTTTAATCCCTGATGGTCTCTGCGTACCCCATAAGGAGTAACATTGGCACAGAGGCCTCTGTGGAGCTGTTTGTCCTACTTTTGTGTGGCAAAATCAGTTTTCATTTCTTTCCCCTTTGTGATTAGTATTATAGAACCTTCATTACACAAAATCTCTACCCTCTTCCTATAATAACAAGGAGAGTTTAAAAGACAACCATATTCAAATGTTAGAGACAGCAGAGAGATTTTTATTAGTGAGGCCTTTTCATTCCTTGGGTACTCTCCTGAGTGGGGTCAACAGCTGACCATTACTGCAGATTGCATCTGAAAATGGAAAGGCATCTTTCCACAAAAATCATTCAGAGATAGCACTGTCTTTCAAAACAATGAATATGTGAACAGATAATAACAAAATACCATAAATAAAACATGCACCATCTTATTTCAGCTCGCCACAGGTCAGTCTAAAAGAGTTGACAGCTCTTGGAAAGGCTTTGCAAAATATTTCAGCATTCAACAACTGCAGTTTCAAGTCCTAAATACCTCTGTGTGGGCCAATGTCCAGAACTCATACAAAACAATTATCTACCAACACATAGATTATTTTAATGCAAACTGGACATACACATCACCATATCAGATCATTATTACTCCTCTTAGAACTGGCCTGTAAAGATGACTGTTGCCTTTGACAAGGTTAATGAATACTTGATCCTGAAGCTAATGGCAACTCCATACTTGAGCTAGGATATCTCAGACACAGCACTTTATTACTGAGAAACAGATTGGAAGATACTTACAAATTCTTAGAGCTTAACATTACCCCACTGATTCTTACCTTTAGAATCAATATTTTGAAGTGTATGATGGAGCGATAGAGAGTATGTTGCATTATTTGCAGCTTTCAGATACTCCTGCTATGTTGATTCTAATGTGTCTGACATATTGACAATAGTCAATACTGAGTAGGTCTCATCCTCTTCCAAATGTTTGTGACTAATATTCTGCAGAAGAATTATGCACTGGGAAACTTGCATTTTTCCCTGTGTTTTTTAGCTTACTATTTGGAAAAAAAACAAGGACTTCTAAATACAAACTGGATGAGACATCTTTCATTCCTAACATACCACACTTTTTTACGCAGCCATGCTGCATTTCAGGGATGACATGAGAAATGCTTACAGCATAGATGTAGCCGTACACGCAGCACATAGGGATCTGTAAGCCATCCTGAAAGGTGCAGAAAGACAGTGCAGCACAGTGTGTATGCCATTATCATGTCAAGGATGTTCAAACACAGAAGCAGTGTACACTTCTAGATCCCACTGGAGTAGGATCTAAGAACCCTGCCTTTTATTCTTGACTGACACAAATGTCCCATGTGACTTTAGACAGTCACTTCACGTATCAGCCTCTGTCTATTCCATTTAGGCTATAGATTGGTTTAAGAACTCTGATACTTAGCACAGTACTTAAAATCATATGTCACCTTTTCAGATGGGTCCTCTGTACATGGCATAGCTAATAAAAATCTCTTAGGGGTCCATAATCAAGCTGATTGTTCATTCCTTGAATTTAATACACCATTATCGTCATAATAATTATCACTGCTAAATTTTAGACTGAGATTTTCCTTAGAGATATTGCTCCGATTTCATTGCTTTTTACTCAGGAAAAAGATCCCTTTTGAAAAGCACCAATTACTATCAGTAAGACAGCAACTGCCCTTGATGAAGAAGATACACCATCTGAAAATACCATCAGTACTGAATTCCCCACCAAATAAATGCAATAACTACACTGTTGATGCAAAAGACATAATGTAAATAAGAAATAAGAAATAAAACCAGCTGCAGCATACTGTGTAGTAAAGGTAAGTGTCACTATAACATTAAAATATAATTTTCTGTTAAGGGAAAGATCATGGTGAAGTGTTGCCATGCATTTCACTTCACACACATACAAATGGCATGCTGAGCTAGAAGAAAGTCATATGTGAATCATGTGAGAAAAATTTTAGAAGCCCAACTAATTGGCAAGACAATTAAAACAGAGGGAAAACAGGTCAGAACTAGTCTGAGCTACTATTCGTTCAAACTATCAGAAGGCAGGTTTAAGAAGAGAATAAGCTACCTTCAGGGCAAGGGCAGGATGGATTTAGGTGTGCTCAGAATGCATGTCATTCTCTGTAAAAGGAATCACTAATAGGGCTATAGCTAATAATGAGCCAAATCCTTGGCCTAGATTTCAAGGCACACATGAATACACAGGGATGGGGAGAGCCTTTGAATTTCATTTCTCACATTCTCTTCTGTGAGAGCTGTGGTGGTTCCTATAGATGTTTCATTCACCTGGATAATCAATACCATGGGGAAGCCTTGTCTCAGGCATAAGACTTTCAAGATACAGCCTCAGTGTGCAAATGAGTTAGAGTTATAGACTACTCTTAGGATGGGATTTGAGGCCATCTCGTATAGGTCCTACTTAGCGACTAGGCAATCCAGCCCCTTTCCTGACACAATTTTCACTGAGTCAAGTAATAGGGCACATACTGTGATGGCTGTTGAGGTCATATTTGAGTAGGACTTGGAAGACTTGATCCAGGAACAACAATGAAACACATCCCATCAAACGGACATAGAACAAAGCTTACACTGATACCAGTGTTTTATTCTGTAAAAATTCCTTGTCTTGAAAGCTTCAAAACTTTGCCGTGACTTTGTGGAAACTGGAATGATTGGAATCAGTACAAGGTTTGTGTCAAAACCACATAATGTTTGTGGTATTTTCTGTTTGAACAGAAAGCTCTCGGAATGTA